GAGGGAAGAACCCCTTGCAGACACACAGAGTGGGCTAGGAGGATGGAGGGAGCTCTGCCCTTTGAGCTGAACGGCGCACCGAATCCCTCTCTCCCCAGTCATGCGCAGCCTCGGGATCCCAACCCGTGTGGTGACGAACTTCGACTCGGGTCACGAGAAGGATGGCAACCTGGTTATCGACGTCTTCTATGACAACACTGGGCAGCTGCTACCCCGGGAGAGCAAGGACAGCATCTGGTGGGTGGCTCCTTGGCCCCATGGCTTTGGACGGAGCTCCGGGGCCAGGCTGGCCTCTGTGCGGCTGGGCTGCCCTGCAGGGGCTTGGGAAAAGCAGCAAGCAGCAGCCTTGGCGATATCCTCCCCCTCCCTCTTACCCCTGCGAGAAGGACCTGGTGAGGCCTCCACAGGAACAGAAGGGCGGGAGGCTCAGAGGAGACCTCTTTCTTGCAGGGTGGAAAAGAGAGTAGATAAATTCATAGAAAGAGGGGGAGACAACTATGGGGGTGGATTCATGTGGGTGGCTTTGCCTTCCCTGCAGTACCTGAGGGGCCCTGCCTGCCCAGCCCACCTCCACAAGATTGCAAGACCTCCTGGGCTTCCTGGAAACCACGGAGGGGCCCTGATGGCAAAAAGAGGGTGGCTAGAGGGCCTCTGGCCTGACACAGCTCCCGAGCCCCCTCCTGGTAGCCCCAAAAGAGCTGCCCAAGAGCCATTCCACATGAGACCTCCGAAGAAGCTGCCTGTGCCGAGGCTGAGTTCACGGAGCCCATTCTGGCTGCTGTGGCCTTCCCTGGTGCCCAGAATGACCCCCTCCCACAAATGCCTGGCTTGGCTGGGATTGGCTGGCAGAGAACATTCCCTCCCTCATCTCCCCCCCTCCAGCAGCAGGGTTGGGGTTTGCAAGAGGGCTGCCGGCTGCCTGTGACAACTCCCTCCCTCTCTACTTGTGTGGCAGGAACTTCCATGTCTGGAATGAGTGCTGGATGGTGCGCAGGGATCTGCCCCCTGGGTACGACGGCTGGCAGGTCTTGGATGCCACACCGCAGGAGTCCAGCAATGGTAACCGGGGTGCCTCCGCTCTGTTCTCTGACTGGGCTTGGTCAGGCTGGTGTACGTGCGTCTTGACCCTTCCTCTCTCTCTCCCCCTTGGCAGGGCTGTACCGCTGTGGCCCATCACCCGTCAGAGCTATCCGGAACGGCGATATCCACCTGCGCTACGACACCCCCTTTGTGTTCTCCATGGTGAATGCAGACCGGGTGGTTTGGCTGCTCTCCGGGACAAGAAGGGAAAAACTCCAGTGGAACCCAAGCGCCGTGGGGAACTACATCAGCACCAAGGCCGTGGGAAGTGATGAGCGAGAAGACATCACCCACACCTACAAGCACCAGGAAGGTACCTCTGGCCCCTCGAGATTCACACAACCTCTCTCTGCCCCGATTTAAGCAGCCTCTAAGCCCAGGCCTCAGGGTGGAGTGGGTGACAGAGTTGGAGGGGACCCCCTGCTCGAGCAGGAGACCCTGGGCCACTCTGGACAAATGGCTGTTCAAATGCTTGAAACCCTCCTCCAGTGATGGAGCACCCACAACTCCCTGAAGCAAGCTGTTCCATGGATTAACGGTTCTCGCTATTGTGGGAATTTCCTCCTAGTTCTCGGCTGGGTCTCTTTAATAATCTTCCATCCGTGGCTTCTTGCCCTGCCTCCAGGGGCTTTGGGGAATGAGGTGACCCCCAAGCGTTTTTTCAGACCTTTGCATTTTGTAGTTTGCCCTGTAGGCTGCCCAGGATGGTCAAGGAGTCGGGCACTCTATCAATGAACGGAATCTGTAGCTGCCAGCCACCCTGAAACACTCAGCAGGGCTTCCTGGAGCCGTCCAGGGTGGCCGTGTTCCTCCCAGCCCGATGGCCTGTTCTCCCCCCGGCCTATTACAATTCCTCCAAGCCCTGCTCTACCATGACAGCAATGCCAGCACTGGCAGCCTCCCCCCCAAACACTCCCTCTCCCATAAGCAGTGGGGTAGAACCTGGACCAAGATGCTGCTAGATGGGCTTTTATAGCTTGCCAGCATCGTGACATAAAAGCACACGATTAATTTCTGGACAGAATCAGGCGTAAGAGAGCAGGAGGGAGACCCCTCAATCGAGGGTTTAGGATGAGGTTGGGCCAGAGGCAGCTGCTTACGGCCCCTCAGTCAGCCTGCTGGCCTTTTGGAGGTGTCCCTGCTTGGGACCCCCCTTCCTCCTCCTCCTCCCCTTTGCCCTGGGCAGCCCCTGCTCCCGGCCTCCTCAGGCGGCCTCCTCTCCCTCCACAGGCTCCCTGGGCGAGCGCCAGGTGTTCCTGAAGGCCCTCACGCGCAGCCAGCCCTTCGGCCCCATCAGAAGCAGCACCAGCGCCCTTCCGGCTCTCCCAGAGGGCCGGCGCCGGGAACCCCCCACGGGGGCTCAGACGTACCTCCACCTTCAGCTGGTGGAGAGTCCGGAGATCGGCCAGGACATCCACCTCACCCTCCTGGCCCGCAACCTGGAGTTTGCCTCCAAGGAGCTGAAGCTGAGCCTGAGCGCCCAGTCGGTGCTGCATAACGGGCACCCCCTGGTGCCCTTCTGGCAAGACACCGTGTACCTGTCCTTCAGCCCCAAGGAAGGTAAGGCGGGGGGTGGCTGCAGGTGGTCGGGTGGCCCAGGGGCGGCCCTGCTCTCGCCCCGGCTACCTACCTTATTTCCGCAGAAAAGCGCATCCCCTGGCACATCTCCTACCGGCAGTACAGCCGTCACCTCCCGGAGGACAAGCAGATCCGGGTGGTGGCCATAGGGGAGGAGAACACCACCTGGCAGAAGGCCCTGGCGGAAAAGACCATCACGGTGGCCACTCCCCCCATCCTGATTCACGTAGGTGACCTCCCCACACACTTATTCTCCCCCCCACCCCCCCACTGCCAGCAGAGCTGCCCAGCAATTCTGTGGGGGGCCATGCTGCTCCTGACTTTCTAACCCCCCTTCTCTTCCCCCCCCCACGGTGCAGGTGTTGACCTCCGTGGTGCTGGACCGGCCCTTCCAGTTCCGAGTGGAGTTTGCCAACCCCCTGGGCGAAGCCATCAGTGATGGCCTCCTGACCGTGGAGGGTGCTGGCCTGGTGCGAGGCCAAGCCCAGATACAGTGAGTGGGGCTGGGCTAGGATGGGGGAGGGGGCTGCTGCAGCTCTGCCTGGAATGGGGGGGGGCAACTGTCTCCCTAGCAATGCTGCACGGGTGGGGGTGGTCTTCCCTTTCCGCACTGCACAATCCCATGTGCGTGTTGTGTCAGTGTGAGAGCAGCCATGTCTGGACTTGCCTAGCTGTGTCCCGGCAGATGAGAGGGGAGCTCCACGCCCCCTTCGGATGCCAGGAAAGGTGCGGCAGAGCTGGGCAGAAACGCGGAAACCCCCCCCCCCGCACTGCCTGCCGAGCCCCTCTAGGAGCTGTTAGGGAGAGAGAGCAGCCAAGGCCACCCAGTCGCCAGGGGCACTTACTGAGGGCGGCCCTGAGGGCGGGTGGGGCGCTCCCTCTGGAAGGTGCCAGAGGCTCTTTGGCTGCTGCTGGATTCTGGCCGGGCCTGTTTTGCGCCTCCAAAGGCCCCGGAGAGAGCCAGACAGGGCGAGAGTGGCCCTCAGCGGCTGCCCCGGAGCGAGGGAGGAAACGCTCTGGTGTGGGAGGCCTGCCCTTCCGATCCTCCGGCTGGGGAACTGCAGGGTGGGGAGGTGGCCTTCTCTGCTAGAGCGATGGAGGCCGGCACTGAGCCCCTGCCTTTGCCCCCCCCCCCCAGGTTGGGCTTCCTGCCTGCCGGACAGCAGGCTAGCCTCACCCTCCAGCTGATCCCCTACAAGAGTGGGCCGCGGCAGCTGCACCTCACCCTCCGGAGCAGCCTCTTCCCCCCCCTGAAGGGACACCGGCAGCTGCAGGTGGCCGAAGGCGCCTGGAGGACAGGCTGGCTGCCTTAGCCGTGGCCACGGAGGGGCTGCATCACAAGGACAGGAGCAACCTCAACCGCCCCCCCACCCCCCTTCAACGCACTTAATAAACTGACCGTTGCACTGATGGGGTCTTTTCTCGGGAGCAGCTTCTCCAAGACCCCCAGGCAGAGTCCATGTGAAGCTGTGGGAGAGACCTCCCCACTGCACCGGCTGCAAACGAAGGCCCCCTCCCCAGCTTCTGGACGTTTAGTGCCTGCCTTCAGGGGAACTTTCGGCTTTGGGGTGATGTGTGGGTGATGGGAAGGGAACAATCCTCTCCCAAGAGGGAGGGGGGCCCTCCCCCAAGTCAGGGGAGATGGGGAGTGGGACGGGGGGGGGCAGAACAGCACTGAGGTGCTGAAGGTGGGGTGAGCAAGGCAAAGGGCTGTGTTTTACCTTAGATTTCATACACAAAAGGCTCCTGTTAACAACGCAGATGTCAAAACAGCCACAGAAATAAAATCCCAAGCAAGGAGAGCCTGGACAAAAGCTGCCCCCAGTCGCCTCTCTTTCTTTGGGCAAAGCAGATGCCGGCCGATCCTGCAGTGGAGCTCAAGGGACTGAGCGGAGGGCTCCTGTGGCGATTTCCCCCCCCCCCAGAGCAAAGGCAGCCATGCCACACAGACCCTCCCCTGCCAGGGCCGCAGGAGGTCAAACCCGCCCCTGGACCGTCCCCTCCAGCTCCCCCCCCCCGGCCACCGGGCGCTGCCTTCCCAGAGGAGCTGCCCCCACAAGGAGCAGGCCAGCAGGGAGCCACTCCGTGTCCTCTGGTGGGCCAGAGCCACAACTGACCACCCCACCTGGTAGCTGCCCCTGGCCAGCTAGGAAGAAGGGAGTGATGGGGTGGAAAACTGGAGACCCAGCCCCCCTGGTCCTCTGCAGGCGCCCCTGCCCACCCTCACCATCCCACCCCTGCCTTTGCCACTTAGGTCACCGCTTCCGTGCCAAGTCACAGCCTCTCTGGAACCGGAGCCGTGAGTGTGTGCTTGTGTTAGAAAAATAACCACACTGCAAGCATTCCGAGCTTCTTGCACAAAGGCCAAGGGTCCTTTACTGCCCGCAGTCGGAACAAAAGCGCTACGGCTGCTCCTTCGGCCGGGCGTCTCCCAGGCACAGACCCTCCCCTGCTGGGCCAGGGTCTCCCAGCAGGCCTTGGGTGGAGTCCTTGATCTTGCCCAGGTTGTGGTCCACTGCTCCAGCCAGGAACCGCACCCAGCTCTCTTCGGAGGGAGGGCAGACGTGGCTCGTCCTGCGGGAGACGAGATGGCAGCCCTGAAGGGACGGACTCGGCTCCCTGCCCTGCCCTGCCCAGCCCAGCAGGCAGCTCAGTCTCCTCTGCCAGGGTGGAAAGCCTGCCAGCCTGGCCTCGAGGCAAATGACCCACAGAGAGAGAGAGAGAGGCTCCCTGGAGACCAAGGGCAAGTCCAGAACCGGTTTCCCTCACCTGGTGATTTCCAGCATCCTCATTAGCACCGAAGCCAGTTTCCCAGCCTGAAAAGGGGTCAGCAAGTGAGCAAGGAGCCTGGCGACCGTGAGGGCCCCCCCCCCTGCAGGGGAAGCGCACCTCGCCAAGGGTCCCCGGGGGCTTCAGTTGTGATTAACAGCCTGCCTCCAGGGATCCCCGCTGACAAATCCTGGCTGCCCAGGCCCATGGGGAGGAGAGCCCCTCCTCCGCTGGCTCCTTCCCCAAAGGCAGACTCTCAGGACTGTGGGACACGCTTGCTCCGTTTCCCTTGCAGGCAGCCCCAAAGCAGCCTGGGGTGACCCTCCCAGCTGAGACGCCCTCTGTAGGGAGGGTCGAGGGGGGAGGAATCGCACCGGGCCTCCCAGAGGTCTGGGCAGCCAGGAAGGGGCTCCCGAAGGGACGCCACCCAAGTCCCTCCTGGACCAACTTGCATTCAGCCGCAGAGTGAGCTGGTTCACGGGCGGGCAGAGGCCGAGCACCAGTTCGTCCACACTAAAACACAGAACACAAAAGCAGCCCGGGGTCAGCACAAACACGGCCGGCACAACGCAGAGAGTCTCAGGCAAATTGGGTCTCGCAGGGGTGACTGTTGGGAGCAGATGCAGCAACGACCTCCTGCCCTTTCAGCAAACTCCTTGGAGGCAGGAGGAGCCCCCTCCTCGCCACGGGGGTCCCACTCCTGCCGGGGGATGGCAGTGCTGCTCCTCCTCCTCCTCCTCCGCTCTGCGGGGCCTCGGTGACTCTCACCTGGGGCTGAGCTCAGCTGCAGCCTCGGCCAGGGCGTCCAGCTGAGCCACGTGCTCCTCCGTGTCTGCTCCGCCGTGGGCTCTCATGGCCCCCAGCAACTTCTTCAGCCCAGCCTTGGTGGCCTTCACCAGCCCCATGCAGGGGCCCAGCAGCTGCCGCTCGGCGTCAGTCCAAACAAGGGCACAGTTTCCCGGCAAGCCCAGCACTTCATCCTCCAGCAGATCACCGGGAGAAGCCCCTCCCTCAGCCTGCATCTAACGCAAACACAAACCCATCACAAAAGTGCTTCAGTGCAAGGGAATGGCAGCATCTGGGCAGCTGGGGGAGGGAGGGGAGACACGCCACCAAGGCTGCCGGGGGAAGCCCTTGCAGGAGAGTCACTAACGGGGGGGGGGGGGCCTTGGGGCAGGGGGGGGGGAACCCAAGGGGGGCACCTTCGGGGCTCAACCACCTCCGATGCGGTATGGCCTCGCAAGGCTGCAGGAGTGTCACCCCGGGAATCCTGAAGTAACCAAGAGGGGTCACAAGGGTGAAGAGAGGGACACAATTCCAAGGCTCGGAGGAATCAGCCAGGCCCCGAGAGGAGATCAAATGCAAGTGGGAAGGTCTGTGGGGTGGGTGGTCTCGGGGATCTATTCTTTCCTGCTGGAAAGCCGTGACACCACCACCGACAGGAGGGGAAACAGGATCCACTCCGAGAGCGAGAATCGGATTCCCCAGCTGAAGGGTCTGGGCAGTAGGAAGGACTAGGCAGACCAGAGAAGGCTTACATTCCACTCCACCTACAGCCCAATTTGTTCAAATAGTTGCTTGCAACCGCTTGTAGTAAGCATGCCAGCTTCCCATGGTCCCTGGGGGCTTTGAAGGCGACTGCCAGGTGACAGGAGGGGCCAGTGACAAAACCTCGAGGGGGGCATTTTTGGAAGGCAGAAGGGCACCTCAGGGTAAATCAAAGCCAAGTTCTGATCGCTCTTTATTGGAGTTGAAGTTTTCTGGGCTAAGTAGCACATCTGCGTCTTTAAAGACACGCCACGGGGCTCACTCACTGAACGGCTGGCAAAGAAGGCCGCAACCCGTTTTATCACAAAACGCAGGCGCTGCTCCCGCGTGGCCGCTTCCCACTGTCTTCACGTTAAAAGGCCCAGCAGCCCCACTCCCTGCCTGCTGTCTGGAACAGTGGGGCACCTGCACGCCTCAACGCTCCCCACGTGCATAGCTGCCCCTCCCTCTTGCCAGGGGAGGAGGCCTCTCTTTGCTCCCAAGCTCTGGCAGTGGCTGGGCCTTTGCCCCAGGCAGCCCGAAGCAGCCCCCCTCTCTCCCCACCTGCTCCATTTCCTCCAGTGCGTCCTTGACAAGCTCCAGGCAGGAAGAGATGGCCAACGTGACCGCTGCCAGGTTGTCTGACCAGAGAGAACACGGGGTGAGCACTCTGGGGAGGGTGTGGCCGGAGCCCCAGCTCAGCCTGGGCCCATTCTCTGGCCAGAGCAGGGGATGCCTGCTGGCCCGGACCTCTCTCCCGCCACTCACCAGGCGGCAGGCAGGAAACTCGGTCGCAGGCCTCCCAGACGCCTCCGGTGGAGATAAGCTGCTCCTGGGACAGACTGCAAGAGGGATGGCGTGACGGGGGCCTGCAGCCAGCATGCAGCTGGAAGGCTGGGGCCAGGAGAAGAGAGCTTGGCTCAGCCGAGGACCCCCCACCCCACCCATCAACTCGGCCTCCTGGGCAGTTTTCTGGGGAGGGAAAGCAGAGGGGCAGCCCTGGCGGGAGAAGGCTCACCTCTCCTGGGGGGTCCGAAGGATAACCTCCGTGAGCTGAATCATCCCCTCCACCACCTGGATCGTGGCACAGCGGACAGCATTGTTCAGGGTCTTCCCTGGGAGAGGCAAAGGGAGCTCTAGCAGCGCTTGACTTGCGAAGCGCAGCAAGACTCCTCCTAACAAGCAACTCTGAGTGAAAGCAGCCCCCTCCAGCCCTGCCTGAGGAGCGCCGGGCCTCTCCCCAGCTTGAGAGAAGGGATGGAGGGCCCACCGTCAGCGCCCACGGCCCGAAGGCTCTCTGCGCTGCTGTAACGGGGGGGGGGGGCTCACTGCTGCTGCTGCTGCTGCTCACCTTGGCTGGGTGGGAGCTGGCGAGACACCGAGACGGCTCCGAGGACAGCAACGCGCACCTCTTCGCTCAGCCTCTCGCACGTCTGGGGGGGAGGAGGAACCAACCGCCAAGGTTAAGCTGCCATCCCCAACAAGGCTGGGTATCCAGGTCCTCCAAGGCCTAGAGGGGCCCTACTCTGGGCACCAGCGAAGGATGCTCCGCTTCCTGCTCCCTCCCCCCCCCCGAACAAGCTTAAAACTGAGCTTAAAACGGGGAACTGACTGGGGGGGACAGGCTCGCTCCAGTCAAGGGGAAAAGCTGCCTCCCACCCAGGGCGAAGGCTCAGCACGAAGTGGGGCCGCACCACAACCTCGCAGGCGGGGGGGGGCGCTAAGGCTTCTGCCCCCCCCTCCTCAACGCCTCTGGGCCGCCAGCCGGGAGGTGGGGGGGGGGAGGGCGACCCACCTGGGAGTCTCGGGCGGCGGCGGCGGCCAGGCTGAGCCGCGTGGCTTCCCGCGAGGCGGCCCCGAAGGCTCCGGCTGCGAAGGGAGGAGAGCGAGGCCCGCGTCAGGGAGGCCCGGCCGGGAACCGGAGGCCGCCCCTGCCCTGCCCTCCGACGCCCGCCCGCCCTCCGCCGCCGCGACCTCACCCAGCGCCTCCCAGAAGCGAGCCCGGTCGAAGGCCTCCGCCTCCTCCCTGCCGCCGCCGCCGCCGCCCGGCAGCCCCGCCAGCGCCTCCCGCAGCGCCTCCCGCAGCGCCTCCATGGCCGGCCACTCCGGGGCGGAAAAAGGTCCGTCTCCCGGGAGGGTCCGGGCGGGGGCGCTTCCGGCCCGCTTGGCCCGCCCGGCCTCGGCAGTTCAGCCGCCCCCGAGCTTCTCCCGCCGGGCAGATCAGAGCGGAGTTCCGGGCTCTTTGGCGGAGACGGGAAAGGCCGAAAGCCCCGAGACTCGCTTCCCGGGACATTTTAGCACCGAGAGGGGTAACTGAGGAACTCCGGTCCCTTCGGAGCTCTGCGGGCCGAGCGGGGTCCTCCTGCGTGGGGACCTTCCGGAGTGAACCGTGGGGTTTCATGTCGCAGACAAATCTCAAAAAAAAAAAACCAAAAAACCTGCCGACTGGCTGCGTCGCTGCGGCTCCGGTCGAATTATCTGCAGCCTGGGAAAACGAGGAAGGCGGCAGGCGCGGAAGCCTGAGATAAGCCGCCCACCCACCCACCTCCTGCTCCTTCCCGGGGGCCCTTCCGGCTCTCCTGCCTTTTCCCCTCGCAAAACCTTCCAAGTGTTGCTTGGCCGCCCGGCAGGGCTGAGGCCGCCCCGCGCATTCCGGCGACCCTTCAAGAGAGCTGCGGTCCGGGGTTTTTGCGGAGCTGTTTTTCTCTCGAGGACGTCGAGGCTCCGGAGCGCTTCCCAGCGCTACCGCTGGGGGCGCTCGTGAGCGGGGGGGAACCCTTTCGGAGCGTCCTGCGTTTCCGACCGGAGCGAAGGGACGGGGGACCGGAAGTCGCGTGCTTCCCCGCAGCCACGATGGAGGCCGGCGCCGGAGCCAAACGGAGCCTGGAGGAGCCGGAGCCGGAGCCTGAGCGGACGGACTCGGAGTCGGAGGTGAGGGGCGGGCCGGGCGGCCGGGCGGGCGGGCAGCGGTGAGAGATTCGCGCCGCCAACCGACTCTCTCCCGCGCCTGGCCTTCCCCGCAGGAGGAGCCGACGGCGGCGGCGGCGGGCCGAGGAGACTTCGCAGCGGGCTTCGCGTTCTCGGAGAAGGAAGCGGCGGCGGGGCCGGGCGGCGGGGCCTGGGCGGAGGCGCTGGGGCAGCTGAAGCGCAAGGTAGGCGCCAGGGACGCGGGGCGGGAGCGGGAGCGGGAGCGGGGTCGGCCGCAGCGCCCCTCTCACCTCTCGGCCCCCTTTCCCTCCCCCCCCCCGCAGCGCTGCGCCACCAGTTTGGACGAGAAGATCGCGACGGTGCGGAGGCAGCGCCGAGCTCAGGTCAGAAGCCGCTCGCAGCGCCGGCTCGGACGGGCCTCCCTTGCGGCGCTTCCCTTCCCGGGGGGGAGGAGGAGGAGGCGGCCCGGTGGGCGCGGGGCTTTGGCCCGGGTGGTTGAGCCGGAGGAACGTCGCCCTTCTGCAGGAGAAGGTGACCAAAGAAGGAGCGGCAAGCAGAGATTGCGGAGGGGCCACCGGGGAAGATGAGGCAAAGGCCGGGGGAGACAGCGAGGAGGAAGAGGAAGAGGAGCTGCAGTCGGAGCCTTCCTCGGCCGACGAGAGCGTCTTCGCCAAAGCTGGTAATTAGCGCTGGCCTTGAGGGAGGCCCACCGGGGAGAGGCTCCCAGGGTGGGCACCAGCTTCCATTCCTTGTTGCTGGAATTCCGCTGCTTTTGATAAGCTGAATCAGAGCCAGAGATCAAGTATATTCAGGGGGTAGAAAGAACCAGGTCACGATGACATACGATTAGGAAATTTGTGGTTCAAGATATTGTGAAAACTTCTTTCCTTATGCGGTATACCGAAGCCGTAATGGATTATTTGTTTGCGTGTCGCATGATGCATAAGCTCTAACATAAACTGAATTTGGATTGAACGTCTACAGAGACAACCAGCTAGTACTTGGTATTGTTTCATAAACGTAAATGTTACTGTAGTTTATTTAATTATACGGTGAATGTCTCAATTCCATTGCTCTTGTATTTTGTAACATAAGTACACAGCAATTGCTTTTTTTGTAGATAAGCTAAAGCTGAAGGAGCGGTGGAAACAGAAACATGGTGGAAAGGAGGTGAGCGTTAGTGGGGTGAAGTCAGACCAAGTTGGAGGGTCTGTTAAGTCCAGCTTTGCTCAGTGCAGCCTCTCAGATAGAGCCATCGGCCATTTTTTCCTATCACAAATTTGTCTTAAAAATGGAGGATAAACGGGATGAGTTTACGCACTGCTAATACATCACAAATTGGCTTGGTTTTGAGCTGTTGTGCACGTGCTTGATCATTGTGAGTTGATCAAGCTTTAGTGTTGCGCATATGCCAAACCACTGTGATTTGTTTGCAAAGAATTGTTAAAATAGACCTTGGCTTTGCTACTAGCAGAGATTTGCTTCTGTGTAATATGGTTGGAGGGTTCACACTGTTGTTTTTCTCTGGCCGCACAGTTCTTTCAGGAAGACGCTTCGCAGTATGACGATAGTTTGTCCTTCCAAGATATGAACCTCTCTCGGCCCTTGCTGAAGGTACCCTTTTGAAATGTGGGCTTGAGGTGCCTGGTGTCTCGTATGGGTAAAGCCCAAATAAATCTGAGGTGCGGCGTCTGAAGATCCGGCGTTGGGATACGGTGCTTGCTGCAGGAGAGTCCACTGGCAGCATAGAAAAGCAGCACAGATGGCCGGAGAGAGCAGGCAGCCTTAAGAAGTGGCAGATTTCTCTGGTTCCAAATGGCTGCTTGGAAGAGAGTGCAGTCCTGGGCCCTTCCCAAGGCCTTTCCACGCTCAAAGGCTTTGGGGGTGAAATGACGTTCTAGGGACGGGTCCCAAGTGAAAAGCTTTCAGTGGAGCTCTGTGGCTTCCATGGGATGAAGAGCCTGGTAGTTTTTAGGAAAGAGCTGGACGGTCATCGTCTCACGTGCGCCTTGCAGAAAGAAAAGAGCAGAATAACTCAGTGAAACGGCTAATTTTTAAACATCCTCCTCTTTGATACAGGGCATTCTTCCTATAGAAATGGGGAATACTAAGTAATTAAGAGAGGTAAATGTTAAGTACGATGGCCCTGCTTAAGAACGGGAGCACTTTGGTAAAGGCTCTTTTTAGTGATGTAACCAGATCTCTACTGGGACGGCTCCAGACGTTTGCACGCTGACCTGCGTAACGCTGTCTCTGTTGTCAGGCCATAACTGCCCTGGGCTTCAAGCAGCCTACCCCGATCCAGAAGGCCTGCATCCCTGTAGGACTGTTGGGGAAGGACTTGTGTGCGTGTGCGGCCACAGGAACAGGTGTGTTGCGCCTGGCTGGAGGTGGGAAGTGGGGGCTTGGAACGACCGCTGGCCTCCTGTGGATCTTAACTTTTTTGCCTGCCTTCCAGGAAAGACCGCGGCCTTCATCCTTCCTGTCCTGGAGCGCCTGATCTACAAACCTCGGCAGGCCCCCGTCAGTCGGGTGTTAGTGCTGGTGCCAACCCGCGAGCTGGGCATCCAGGTGCATTCTGTTACAAAGCAGCTGGCTCAGTTCAGCAGCATCACCGTGTGCCTGGCAGTGGGTGAGTGGCCCAGCCTTCGGCATTTCCACAGCCGGTTCGCTTGATCTGCTTGTTGTTTGGGGATGGCTGGGCTGCACGCTGTTTGTGTTGTTGCAGGTGGCTTGGACCTCAAGACCCAGGAGGCAGCCCTGCGCTCTGGCCCTGACATTCTCATCGCCACTCCTGGCCGCCTCATTGACCATCTGCACAACTGTCCCTCCTTCCACCTGGGCAGCATTGAGGTCCTCATTCTGGATGAAGCCGACCGGTGAGAGGATGGTTTTAATTCCTCCGGGGCCGAGAATGGGGGTCCGGCTCTCCTCTGGCCCTCTAAGCCCCGTGGCCTGAGCTTTGCACAGTGGGCCAGGGAGAGGGCTGGCCCGGTCATTGGCTCTTGTTCCCCCCTTGCACGTCAGGATGCTGGATGAATATTTTGAGGAGCAGATGAAGGAGATCATCCGGATGTGCGCTCGACACCGCCAGACCATGCTCTTCTCTGCCACCATGACGGACGAGGTACCGCAGGCGCCTGGTGTGGAGGAGGAGGGCAGGCGGGAGGAGAAGGGGGGGTGGCTGTCCGGGGGGGGATGAGAACCCCCTCGCCCCGCCTGGCAGGGCTGCTCTGGAGCAGCAGGGGAGGCCTCGTTCCTGTCGCATCTGGAGCAGCAGCCTTTGGGGGGCGCTGTTCCTGGGGAGGGCTGAGTGGGGCCGGGCTGAGGAACTTCCCCTCCCCCTTTGGCAGGTGAAGGATTTGGCTTCGGTTTCTTTGAAAAACCCCGTCCGGATCTTTGTGAACAGCAACACAGAGGTGGCCCCCTTTCTGCGCCAGGAGTTCGTCCGCATCCGGCCCAGCCGCGAGGGGGACAGGGAGGCCATTGTGGCAGGTGGGAGCTGGTGGAGCAGCTTCCGGTGGTGGGTTCAGGCGAGGGGGGAGCCGGCCGTGATGAGTCTCCCTCTGCTCTCCAGCTCTGCTGACCCGGACATTCCCTGACCACGTGATGCTCTTCATCCAGACCAAGAAGCAGGCCCACCGCCTGCACATCCTCCTGGGCCTGATGGGCCTGCGTGTCGGGGAGCTGCACGGCAACCTTTCCCAGGCCCAGCGCTTGGAGGCTCTCCGGTAGGCGGGGGGGGGGAAGGGAGAGTGGGCGGCCGGGGAGAGCCGGGTCGGGCTGGGCCGGACTTTTCAGGGGCTCCTTTCTCTGCAGGCAGTTCAAGGACGAGCAGATCGACGTCCTGGTGGCCACCGATGTAGCCGCCCGAGGCCTTGACATTGAAGGCGTCAAGACAGTAAGGTCCTTCCCGCCTCCCTCCTCCTCCCAGCCCCCAGCCTCTTTTTCCCAGGGGCCGGTGCTCTTCACTGCCTCCTCTCTACTTGCAGGTGATCAACTTCACCATGCCCAACACCACCAAGCACTACGTCCACCGGGTGGGGCGCACAGCTCGGGCAGGGCGCGTGGGCCGCTCCGTGTCCTTGGTGGGCGAGGAAGAGCGCAAGATGATGAAGGAGATCGTCAAGGCCGCCAAGGCACCTGTGAAGGCCAGGATCCTCCCCCAGGGTAACGGCTGTGAGGTTAGGGGGGCGGGTTAGACCCTCGCTTTGCTGTGAGGGATTCGGTGGCAGTCGTGGTCTTTCGGTCCCCCAGATGTGATTCTGCGCTTCCGGGAGAAAATTGAGAAGCTGGAGCCAGATGTGTACGCTGTGCTGCGCCTGGAGCGGGAAGAGCGGGCGCTGCAGTGCTCGGAGGCCCAGGTGCGCCAGGCCGGAGGGGGCCGGTGGAGGAAGGGGCTCCTGGGCTGAGTTCTCTGCCCACTGAGGGAGTGGAGAAGGGGGGGTGGGGAACTGCTAGTCTGTTTCCAGGGGGCTAATTTAGGAGAAACTCCTTTCACTCTCTCAAAGAGTGGAGTAAACCACACCTTGGTGACCCGAGTCCAGGCAGAGAATGAATTTGGCGTTGCATTTCAACACCTGCAGGATCTACCATAGTGGGAGGGAGGGGCTGTCCCAGCTGCTGCTTCACTGGGGGATGAGTAACATCCTCCCCTTCTTCCCTCCCCTCCCCCCCCTTGCCAAGGACAAACGAATCTGGTCCCACGGCTCCTGCCTGGTCTGGGGAAGATCCTTCCGTCTGCCAAGGCCGCGTTTGGGCTCTGACCAGGTCTGCTCTCTCTCCTTCCAGATCAACACTGCCAAGCGGAGGTTGGAAGCCGGTTCCCAGCCAGCAGGGGCTGGGGGCCCTCCCCGCAGCTGGTTCCAGAGCCAGGAGGAGAGGAAGAACGAGAAGCGTAAGGCTTGGCTCCGGGGAAGGGCTTGGATCCCTCCAGGCCTGGCCCTGACCTCCCCCCCCTCGCTTCCCTCCCAGTTGCCAAGGCCCTGCAGGAGTTTGACTTCGCGCTTCGAGGCAAGAAGAAGAGAACCACGTTTGTGAGGGATTCCAAGAAGAAGGCTCAGCCGACGGTGAGCAGCTGCCTGCCTGGAGGAGGATGGGGGGGGGGAGGACTGGCGCTTGGGCCCCCGGCCCCTCCCCAGCCAGCCTTGCGAGCGTCTCTCTTGTTGGCAGCCTGAGGAACGTTCCCAGTTTGAGATCTTGAAGGCCCAGATGTATGCCGAGCGGCTAGCCAAAAGGAGCCGCCGGCCCAAGCGAGCCCGGGCCATGCCGGAGGAAACGCTGCCGACAGAAACGGGGGCTGGTGAGGCTTCTTTCCCCTGTTCTGAGGCCAGGGGGGGCGGAGGCGGGGGCGCCTCTGGGGGAGAGGGGGGCTTTCCTCCATGACTGGCTTACAACCTCCTGCCTTCTCGGCTCTCCTCTCCTCTGAAAGGGCCCAAGACGCAGCGCAAGAAGAAAACTTCGGCATTTGACGTGGAGCTCACCAACACGAACAAGAAAGCCCTGAAGCAGTATCGAGCGGGGCGAGTATCGCTGTTCCACCCTTGCAGCTCCCTCCCTCCCTTTAGTGGGCAGTTTGGGGGCGCTCTCTAGGACACCGACGGTGCTTCTCCTCCGGTGTCTGGGCCCAGAAGCCCAGTCTGGTGGATCGGGAAAGGGTCTGGGGGGGGGGGGGGAGACCATGAGAGAAGTCCAGGTAGGGAATTTTGAAAACAAAATCCCAGGAGGCAGCAACAGGGGTTCCAGTGCTGTGAGCGAGAGAATTGTGCCCAGGGGGTCACCAGGAGTGAAGCTTAACTTGAAAGCATCTTCTCCCACCCCCTCGCCCCAAAACCCCTGGGCGGTTGAGGGGAAAAGGCCTCCTTGCTCCTTTGAGGTTCCGCTGAGGGCAGCACTTTTTCCCTCTCCAGGCCTTCCTTTGAAGACCGCCAGCGTCTGGGCCTTCAGGGGAGAAGGAAAGGAGGAAAATTCAAAACCAAGTCCAGGTAAGGCTCCAGCACACCCAGTCTTCCTTCCTGGATTGCCCCACCATCCAGTCAGAGCTGAAGAAGCTTCTGGGATGAGAAGCGAAACGTCTTCAAAGAAAAACGAGAAAGTCCAGTTGCCTCCTGAAAAAGAAGCACCTTTGGGGCAACCAGGACCTGGATGACTGGGAATCTCCACGGACATCCTTCCTGGATCCTTTTCTGGTTCTGAGATTGTTGCTCACTTGTTCTTTATGCAGGTACAGGCGGAAGTGAGCGCACCTGGGGGCCGGGTGGCAGAGGCCTCCCCCTGGCAGCCCCTGTGGAATTCAAGATCCCTTCAGATCAGCTCTCCTGGTGGCGGCAGCAGTCGAGCAGTTGGAACCGAGCAGTGCCCAGGAAAAACCACCTGGCTGCTTTGGGACTTGGCTGAAGAACTGGACCTTGGGAGGGGTGGTCGGGAGGGCCTCCCTCGTGGTCCGTTTTCTCGCTTCTCTGGAACTTCCTAGGAAGACCCTCAGACCAAATAAACAACTATGTTGTTGACTCATCTATGTTGCTGCCTTGCTATGGAGCCCGAGGGTTTTGTGTGAGCTTTACCTAACAACTATTAAAGGAGGCTATGAAAATTCCAAGAACTCAAAGGCAACCTTTACTCACTAAAGCAGTTCCTAGTAACANGGGGGAGAAAGGGGGCTTTCCTCCATGACTGGCTTACAACCTCCTGCCTTCCCGGCTCTCCTCTCCTCTGAAAGGGCCCAAGACGCAGCGCAAGAAGAAAACTTCGGCATTTGACGTGGAGCTCACCAACACGAACAAGAAAGCCCTGAAGCAGTTTCGAGCGGGGTGAGTATCGCTGTTCCGCCCTTGCAGCTCCCTCCCTTTGGTGGGCAGTTTGGGGGCTCTCTCTAAGACACCAATGGTGCTTTTCCTCCGGTGTCTGGGCCCAGAAGCCCAGTCTGGTGGGTCGGGAAAGGGTCTGGGGGGGGGGAAGACCATGAGAGAAGTCCAGGGAGGGAATTTTGAAAACAAAATCCCAGGAGGCAGCAACAGGGGTTCCAGCGCTGTGAGCGAGAGAATTGTGCCCAGGGGGTCACCAGGAGTGAAGCTTGAAAGCATCTTCTCCCCCCCACCCCCTCCCCCCCAAACCCCTGGGCGGTTGAGGGGAAAAGGCCTCCTTGCTCCTTTGAGGTTCCGCTGAGGGCAGCGCTTTTTCCCTCTCCAGGCCTTCCTTTGAAGACCGCCAGCGTCTGGGCCTTCAGGGGAGAAGGAAAGGAGGAAAATTCAAAACCAAGTCCAGGTAAGGCTCCAGCACACCCAGTCTTCCTTCCTGGATTGCCCCACCATCCAGTCAGAGCAGAAGAAGCTTCTGGGATGAGAAGCGAAACGTCTTCAAAGAAAAACAAGAAAGTCCAGTTGCCTCCTGAAAAAGAAGCACCTTTGGGGCAACCAGGACCTGGATGACTGGGAATCTCCACGGACATCCTTCCTGGATCCTTTTCTGGTTCTGAGATTGTTGCTCGCTTGTTCTTTATGCAGGTACAGGCGGAAGTGAGCGCACCTGGGGGCCGGGTGGCAGAGGCCTCCCCCTGGCAGCCCCTGTGGAATTCAAGATCCCTTCAGATCAGCTCTCCTGGCGGCGGCAGCAGTCGAGCAGTTGGAACCGAGCAGTGCCCAGGAAAAACCACCTGGCTGCTTTGGGACTTGGCTGAAGAACTGGACCTTGGGAGGGGTGGTCAGGAGGGCCTCCCTCGTGGTCGGTTTTCTCGCTTCTCTGGAACTTCCTAGGAAGACCCTCAGACCAAATAAACAACTATGTTGTTGACTCATCTATGTTGCTGCCTTGCTATGGAGCCCGAGGGTTTTGTGTGAGCTTTACCTAACAACTATTAAAGGAGGCTATGAAAATTCCAAGAACTCAAAGGCAACCTTTACTCACTAAAGCAGTTCCTAGTAACAGCGAGGTATTCTGCTAAAACCAGCAGGTTGGGGAAGCTTAGAAACGCTTTTAAGGGGAAGGACAACCTCCTTATCCTGGCACTGGAGCTCTACCCTTGTCCTTGGACGACTGAGCCCTACTGTGGTTTGCAGCTCCCAGCAAAGTGGAGGACCTCCAAGGAGAAGCTGCTTGGGGAATCCCCAGGTCCTTCCCAGCTTAATGGTGCTTTGGGCGTTAACGCTCGAGCCCCCAAGATCAAGGCTGTGGCTTTCCTCACTATAGCCGTCGCTTTAGGCAGAGGTCTGTTTGTTTGCCTGCCTGCCTGAAGACCAGGGTGTCTTTACTCCTCACTCCCCCCCCCCCAGCCCAGCAATAGTCTCCTCTGTATTGTCTAGGAGTTTGGCCTTCTGCCCAGCTACAGAACCAGGTGTATGCCCACCAGCCCATACGACACAAAAGCAGACAAACCACCTGTCATGGTCAGGCAGAAACCTTTACTGACATGCCAAAGGTTGGGGTGAAATGCACAGGATTCTTTACCTGATTGTATTGAAGCGAAAGATTCTTCTTGGCTACTTCTTCAGTATTTGGAATTGATCAAGAATTGTGAACTTTTCAAATATGGCAGTACTCCAAAGTATTAATGTTAACAACTGGAAGGATAAATCCACACTTAATTGTGGAATGTTCAGTGACTGATGTAAGTTGCTTATTAATACTGGCGTTGCGGCTTTTAGAAGCAATATAGGCTTTTGAGGAATTTGATCAGCGGAGGGGGGTGTTTGGCCCAATTTAATTTCCCAGGGTTTATGCAGAATGTGTCCCTCTGCAGTGAGCTCTAGTCGGTGTGGAGTGTGCGGTGGAACACAGAGCTAGTGCGCTGTGCTTGGATTATGTTTCCTGCAACAGCATCTAAAGCCTGAGCTGTAAAGAAATCTCAGCTGTCCCAACATAAACATTAAGAATTAGAGCTTCAGCCAAGGCCTTTGTTCATTACCTAACTCTAAGCGCCAAAGTAACATCTACAGTTACTCGGATGAAAGTCTAGCTGTGCCAGTGGTTGCGTCCATACAAGGAACTGCGGAAGGAGAGCCCCCAACAGATTGTGTGTGTGGTTAGTAGAAACTGCTGAGCTTCCATAACATGAAAAGTCTGCTTATTTTGACACCGTGGAGTCCTCGGAGCTCTCTGGGCTTGGTTTTCTTGCAGACATTTCACGTGCACTGAAGATGCCTAGCTAGGTCATGAAATGTCTGCAGGAAAATCACCAAGAACAGAGAGCATGTGACTGGCCACAGACCGACTTCTTGTAAACCTCTCCTTTCTATTTCAGTCTCTATCACTTCTTCAAAAGACAGATGGAAAATATGACATAATTATCAAGTAGTTTGTCAGTAACAGTTAATTTAAGGCCTTGATGGTGTTAGTGGAATATGGGCCTGATCTCCAGTGATGACTTCCAAATTCAAAGGTCCTGAACAAGCAAACCCAAACTATTAACATATGACGGATGATCGAATCATGAGCCAAACAGCATTGATTTGTTTTCACTTAATGTGAACATGCCTGTATTTGCCAACAAATGTAGGCAAAGACCTTTTCTCCTAGCCTTTTTAACAGGAGCTGGAAGGGACCTTGGAGATCATCTAGTCCAGGGGTACCCAACCCCCAGTCCATGGACCGGCACCGGGGCTGCGGCATACCAGCAACCGGGCCACGCAAACAAGCGAAGCCCCATCCACACGCTGCAGGCAGCAGGCGAAACCACACCCTCTGGTCCCTGGAAAAACCTTTCTCCATAGAACCGGTCCCGGGTGCCCAAAAGGTTGGGAGCTGCTGATCTAATCCAGCCCCCTGCTCAAGCAGGAGGCCCTACATTACTTCAAACAAGTACCATGGAAGCAAGGCCTTCACTATCTTGGCACACGTGCCCTTGGTTGCTACTTGGCAGGCAGCTGCTACCAAGGAAAGGGATGGGCCTCAGAAGGCCAAGGCATCCAAAAACATTCAGTCCCAAAACCCTGTCCGTGTTTTCTTTCCCCAAATACACGCCTAACAGTGACACCACAGGAAGAAACGTCAGAGTTTTATTAGAAATGGGCAACATGACATCAAAAAACAGAGCACACACATACACAGCTAATTCTACTCCTGCCATCTTGCGATCACCAAGATCGGCCCCCGTGAGTCCCATGGGTGTCAAGGCCTAGGCGGGCGCATGCCAGGAGGAGGGGGGCCTGAAAACAAAAGTCACAAGTGTCAATTACTTGCAGTTGTGAGAATATTGTAGCGCTACTGAGCAATTTGTTTTTAACCCAGCTATCGCAATGGCCTTTCATACTGAGTCAAACACCACCACTTTGGCAGCTTATCTCAGAATTCTAATTTTCTTCCCCAAAAGAGTACTTACCCCTCATGCCAGGAGGTGGCGGCCTCATTCCCGGTGGCGGCATCCCCATTGGTGAGCCACGGCCTGGTGGCATCCCCATAGGAGGGCCCATGGGTGGCCTCATACCAGGAGGCGGCCCCATCATTCCTAGAGCAGAAGAGCAGAAGCATCAGCAACTGGCAGTCCCTTCCCTCCTGCCTTCTAGCCCAGGAGAGACCTCAGAGTAATCCTGCTTTGACAACAGCTCCTCACAGCGGTGCTCAGGTACTGCCACTCATCATAGGTCCCGTCAGCTCCGGTAGCGAGGAGGGGGTGGTTTAGTCAAAACTCACCTGGAGGGGGAGTGCCCCTTCCCATGGGCGGGGGAGGGCCCCCACGGCCTGGTGCGTATTGAGTTGGGGCTCCTGCTATGCTAGCTGTGGCGGCAGCGGCGGCGGCAGCAACCGTCCCTCGACTCTGAGGAGTCATTACCTGTAAAGAAAAAAGTTTGAACGTGATGCGCCGCTCATCTCCCGCCTGGACTACTGCAACGCTCTCTACATGGGGCTCCCCTTGAGGAGCACTCGGAGGCTCCAGTTAGTCCAGAATGCAGCCGCGCGAGCGGTGATGGGAGCTACTCGTCGCTCCCATGTAACGCCGCTGCTGCGCGAACTGCACTGGCTACCGGTGGCCTTTCGAGTGCGCTTCAAGGTGCTAAGGGTCTCCTCAGGGTGCCGTCAGCCAGACAGTGCCGGCTGGCGACCCCCAGGGGGAGGGCCTTCTCTGTTGGAGCCCCCTCCCTATGGAACGAACTACCCCCAGAGATCCGGGTCATTCCGGATCTCCCCTCCTTCCGCCGCGCCCTCAAGACATGGCTATTCCAGCTAGCGGGGCTGGCCTGAGGAGTATTTTAGATTGATTTTAATTTGATTTTATATTGGGTATTTATAAAATTTTAAATGAAACGGCAAAACTAATATTTCTTTTAATAGTATTTTAAAATGGTGTTTTGTAAGGTCTTTATCTGTTTTTAGCTTGCTGTAAGCCGCCCTGGGTCCGCCAGGAGAAGGGCGGGGTATAAATCTAATAAAATCTAAAAAAATCATCTCTGTCCACGTCCACAAGGAGAGAAAGTGAAAAGGGCTTATCAGCCGGAAGCCGCCTGGCACCAAAGCCGCGCTCCGTTCTCCATGCAGCTGGACGTGGCTCTGCTCTTACCTGTTGGGATGGTCCACCAACTCCACGCACAGGACCGGCCAAACCCGCAGGCGCTTGGGGCATGGGAGCCCCGGCTGGGACTCCTCTTCCAGCAGCTCTGCCAACACCGGGTCCTCCTGCTGCCCCAGCCAGTGGCACACGGGCAATCCCAGTCTGGAAAAGAGCCGAAGCATCACCACACAGCAGCACCCTGGGGTCCCTCGCTCGCTGCACTCGGGAGCCGAATCCCCAGAGTGTTATTTCACCAGTGTTTCTCTGCCGCTCTTCACAGGCTCCTTTTGCTGGACCGATTCCTCCCCGGTGGAGTTTTTCTTCGCCACCTGACAATCCTCCGTGATTTGTCTCTAACAAACTAGGCCCGTTCAGTCCGCTGCGTCCCCTGGTGGCCCACCCTCAGGGCGGCCAGAGCAGGAGGGGGCAGTGAGCAGAAGCAGCCAGGCCGGAAGCCTCCCAAGGGTGCCGGGAGGAGCTCGGGCATCGCTGCTGCTCCCCCCCCACAAACTCCCACCCCCTCCGCCCCCCCCACCCCGGCTTACGTCCTTGGGGGGCGGCCCCTCCACCGTCATGGAGACCAGGTTCTCGCCGCGGAGCAGCACCAGGCCCAGCACGCGCTTCTCCTCCCGCTCGGGCTGCTTGGAGTTCTTGGGCCTGCGAGGGGGAAGGACGGAGGGAAGAGGCGCCGCTTACCGCCCGGGCCCCTCCTCGACCCCCCCCCTCCGCTCCCCGTCTCCCGTCGCCGGCCTCCCCCGCCCCCCCCCCCCCCCCTCACTTGATCTTGCGGAACTCGTCGCAGTCGCAGAGGATGAGGTTCATGTGCTTGTCGAAGGCCTTGAAGGTGCCGATGAAGACGCGCCCGTCCTGCAGGATGCACCGCATGCGGTAGTCGATGTGCTGCAGCATCTTGCTGCTCTTGCCCACCGTCTGCGGGGAGAAGAGGCGGCGGTCAGCGCGGGGCGGGAGGCGCCCCCCCCGGCCCAGGTCCCCCCGCCGGGCCCAGCCTCACCATGGTGGCGGCGTCGCAGCTCCTTCCTTCGCGCCGGCCGCTTCCCTTCCCTTCCCTTCCCGCTGCCTCGCGAACCGCCAACGCGCGCCCGCTTCCGCCGGAACCGGAAAGAAAGCTCACTTCCGGCCCCGGCCCCACACACCCCGGCGGCCGCCGGGCCAGAGCAACGCCGCGGTTTCCATGACAGCGACGGCCTTGCCGATCCGCCAATGGGAGAGGGCGCTGGGGAGCCGCGGCGGCGGCCTCTGCCAATCCGCGGGAGAGGCGGGGCCGAGGAGCGGAAGGCCGAGGGGGCGGGGCCGAGCCGAGCCCAGGAGGAGCGCGGAGCCCCGAGCGGTGGGAGGCCGCCGGGCATCGCCCCCCCCCCGCCCCGCAGCCCCCGCCCCGCAGCCCCCGCCCCGCAGCCCCCGCCCCGCGTTCCCGGGCAGGTGAGGACGCGGCCTCCGCTCGGCCGGTGAAAGCGCCGCCGCCGCCGCCGCGGGAGGGTCCGGGCCCCGGAAGGGAGGCCGTGGCCCCCTTGGACGCTGCCCCGGCCGCGCTGTCTGTCGGGACGACCCAAAGGCCGCCTACGGGCATCCCGGGCCCGGCCGGGGGCGCTGCGCCAGGCCCCGGAGAAGAGCCCGGGGGGGGGGAGCCCCGCCTCGGTCTCCATGGAGATTCAGCCGGGGGGGATCCTTGGGGGGGCTCTTGTTGCCCGCAGAGGGACCAACCCCCCCCCGCTCCCCCCTTTCCGGCTGCAGCGCCGTCGCCGGTCCGCAAGCAGGGAGCCTCCTTCGCCCAGGCGGGGGTCCCGGCAGGAGAAGCCGGCCTGGGCATCTCAGGGCTCCGCCGTTTCCCCCGTTGCTGTCTTCGTATGGCCGGGGGGGGGGGGAAAGGCCGCCCTGAGCAAAAGCCCCGCCGCCCCCTCCCCCCCGCCTGGCTCTCCTCCCCGGCCTCCCGCTGCTGCTGCTCCCCCCCCTGCAGACGGCCGGCCGGTTGCCCAGAGCGGCAGCGCCCTCCCCCGCCCCCCTGACCGGGGGGGGGGCATCCGTTGTCTGGCGCCCTGCGAGTGAAGCCCGCCTGGTCGGGGCCTGTGTGCCTGTCCCGAGTTTCACTCGATTTATTTTGCCTCCCCTCCCCCTCCTCATGAACTGGGGGGTCTCTGACCGCGCCTGCAGACGCACCGTGCTGGGTGGGGGTCCTCTGGCGGGGGGGGGAATCCTCTGCTTGTGGTGCTTCTGAAGTCCCCAGTCCCGATCTGGCCCTGCGTGGCTTTAGTCGCCCCAGAATCCCGGAGGCTGCCCTTCCCCCACCGTCCCCTCCGGGTCAGGATCACCACAGGACCGTTCAGGTCCCCACCTGCCTCCCTCTGGAGTCCAGAGTTTCCCGAAGGGGCTCCCCTGGTCAGACTGTATCCCAACCCGTGCCCCCTCCCCATTCTATGTGCCCCCTTCATCTGTATGTGGGAAGCCACAAGTATCCGGTGGGGCCCAGAGAGCAGATGCGCGGCCAGCACAGGCCCTCGGCTGACCCCTGGGCTGGAACTGGCAATGGGCCTGAGGTTTGGGCTGGGGGCTCCTGCGGTGGAAAAGCCGCCCATCTGCCAACCCTTTTCTGTCGTGGCAGGTCTGGAAGAGGGTCCCCGTTTCTAGCGAGAGAGCTGGGTCTCTAAAGAGATGCTGCCCCTGCCAGACATAGTTAAGGTGGCTGTGGAGTGGCCCGGGGCCAACGCCCAGTTGCTCGAGTTTGACCAGGTGAGAGTAAAGGGTGCCCAAGTGTTCGCAGGAGTGAGGCCTGGACAGTGAGCCACGGCAGGGTGGCTGTGGATGATGGTGGGGACAGGCAGAGGTTGTCCCAGAGAAGCCTCCTAGCTCACGACTCTCGCCCTTTTCAGAAGCGGCCCCTGGTCTCCATCATCAAGGAAGTCTGTGACGGGTGAGTGCCCGCCAGCCGGATCAGCCTCCCCCCCCTCCGTCTTCTCAGCTGGGGCCCCAGGAGCACCCTCTCTCTCAGGTGAAGAACAGCCAGGCTGGAAGGCTCAAGCGCCCTTCCTGTGTTTGTCCCCTGGCAGATGGTCCCTGCCTAACCCTGAATACTACACGCTACGCTATGCCGATGGAGCACAGCTGTACATAACGGAACAGGTAGGTGTGCAATCCTCCCTTACCCTGGAGTCCAACACATTCTGTCTCTCACTCTCTTACACACACACACACACACACTTGACCGGTGTTAAGCCAGCTTTTGTCTTTGTGCCCTACAGACTCGTGGCGACATCAAGAATGGGACCATCCTCCAGTTGGCGGTTTCTCCAGTAGGTTCTGGCTGCTGCTAGCCCTTCCGGATGCGGCTTGGGGGGTGGGGCTCTTTTTTCTCCTCCCTCCACCCCCCCCCCTTTGCCAGTGGCAGCGTTGAGGACCTGCTCTGGCTCCCTGTCTCCCGAGCGAGATGGGGAGGGGCTCCCGATGCCTCCTTTTCAGTCCAGGGCCGCCCGCCAACTGATGGACCGGACCCAGTCCTCCAGCTTGGAGGGCCGCCTGGAGGCCATGAAGGAACTTGCCAAGCTCTCGGCAGACGTCACCTTTGCCACCGAGTTCATCAACATGGATGGCATCGCGGTGCTCACCCGGCTGGTGGAGGGCAGCTCCAAGCTCCTCTCTCAGTAAGTGCCGGGCTGCTCTTCAGTAGGAGCTCCTCTTGTTCCCCCACCCCACACCCCCGTCTTTGCACACACACTTTGCCCAGGGCGCCCCAGCGGAGGAATGAGCCTCCGGTTGCTCCAAGACCTCATAGCTGTCAAGGAGTGGCTCTCCAGGGGAGGCAAGGAGGAGGGGCACGGAAGTAGTCAATCCCTCCTAGTGCTTTCCTAAGGATGGGGAAAGGATGGCAGCAGGTCATAAGGCTTGTCCTATTCCTAGAAAGCCCAGGAAAAGGAAAGGGAAGAAGAGGGCCACCTAGGGGCCCTGTCCTGTGGGAAGCATTGTCCCCCCCCCCCATTGGGTATAGACTGCCTTTAGCCAGTGTCGCAGTCTGTGGAGGGTGCGCTCAGGGGCAGGGCTTTGTCTGCTGAAGCCCCCAGGCAGCAAGGGTGACCTCCTCCGTGGCCGTCGCCCGTTTTGGCTGGCGGGAGCATCACCAGTGGGGCCCTGTCAGAGAAGAGCCGAAGGGGTTGTCTGAGGTTTGACAGCCAGGTGAGAAAGAGCCGAGCAGCGGCCTGCAGACCAGGGAGCGTGGACGGTTTGTGTCTTCCCCTGCAGCTACGGCGAGACGCTGGCCTTCACCCTGACGGCCTTCTTGGAGCTCATGGACCACGGCCTCATCTCCTGGGACACCATCTCCATCGGCTTCATCAAGCAGGTGCCGTCCCCCGGGAGGAGAGGAGAGCGGGCATGTCCTGGTGAACCGGGCTGGTGCTGACTGGGGGTTCCCTCTGCCGGCAGATCGCAGAGTACGTGAGCCAGCCGACGGTGGACGCCTCCATCCTGCAGCGCTCCCTGGCCATCCTGGAGAGCATGGTGCTGAACAGCCAGGCTCTCTACCAGAAGATTGCGGAGGAGATCACGGTCGGGCAGCTGCTCTCCCACCTCCAAGTGTGAGTGTCCCAGGGCTTGGGGCTTCCCCTTGCCCTCCCCCTGGCAGAGCCGGACGAGTTCTCTCTCTGGATCTCCCTACAGCTCCAACCAGGAGATCCAGACATACGCAATAGCGTTGATCAACGCCCTCTTCCTGAAGGCTCCCGAGGACAAGAGGCAGGTAGGTGGCAGGGACCGGGTGGGGGAGAGGGAACATGCCCTGTCGACTGGGGAGAGGGCCAGCGGAGGCAGGCCTTGCTCTTTTCCTGGGGGACAGAGCCATCTCGGGGGTGGGGGCTGGCTTGGGCGTCTGCGTGTGCACCCCCTCCATCTGTGTCCTGTGAAAGGCTGTGTCCCCCCCTCCCCGTTTCTCCCCCCCCCCGTCTGCTGATTCCGTCATCTGCTCCTTTTGTGTCTGTTTCTGCTTTCCGCCCCCAGGACCAGCTTGTCAGTCCGCTAGACCTGCCCTGCACTGTAAGTCGATCCCTATGGCAGAGAATGGAGGCCCGGCGGGCTCCGAATCTTCTCTTTCAGGGTGCTGGGGTGCACGGAAAGCCTCGGAGGAGCAGGGGGCCCCAGGGGCAGGAGGCTACTCCTGCTGTGGGGTCTGAGAAAAGCCTGGGGTTTTTGCAGATGGCTTCCCTGGTGGGGTGGGGAGCAGCACAGGTGGGGGGAGGTCCAGAAGGTGGCCCCTCCGTCTCCCTTCCTTCCACCACCCGCCATTTCCTTTGTACCTTCCTGGCAGGAGATGGCCGAGGCCTCCGCCCAGAAGCAGCTGCGTTCGGCCATCCTGACGGTAAGGCTTGGGGTCAAAGATGCCCTCCCTAGTTAGCGTTGCTGTCCATCGGCCTGCCCTTCAACTGGGCCTTGCAAGGCAGCTCGCCCTTGCCAGTTAGCAGGCAGTGTGCCAGCCGCAGCAGTCTGGGCCAGTGGACAGCTGCGAGGCAGTGGGGGCTGCTCCTGCTGACTCTTTTCATGCTCCCTCCCCCCCCAGCACGTCATCCGAGGGAACCGCCCAATAAAAACCGAGATGGCCCACCAGCTCTACGTGCTGCAGGTCTTGACTCTCAACCTCCGGGAGGAGCGGATGATGACCAAAATGGACCCCAACGACCAGGTAGTGGGCAGGGTAGCCCCCTGCGGCCTTCAGGGCGGGTGTCCGGCTGCCGCCACCGCCCAGACTCACCGTCCCCCTTGTCCCACGCAGGCCCAGCGGGATGTCCTCTTTGAGATGCGCAGGATCGCATTCGAGGCCGAGGCCGAGAGCAGCGGCGTCCCTGGCGGGGGAGCGGAGAAGCGCAAGGCCGTCTACACCAAGGACTACAAGATGCTGGGCTTCACGGTCGGTTGGCGGTGTGCAGGGAGGGGAGCCCGGCAGGTGGGGCTGCCAGGCCAGGGGCCGAGAGAGACCCTCTTGTTTCCACAGAGCCCCGCCAACCCCGCCCTGGACTTCCTCCAGACCCCGCCAGGCATGTTGGCCTTGGACAACATGCTCTACCTGGCCAGACACCACCAGGATGCCTACATCCGAGTAAGGGGCCCGGCTGCTCCCCACGGGGGACCCTGCGCAGGCAGCCACCTGGCTCCCCCTCACCGTGGGCCTCTCTCCCTGCCCCACAGATTGTCCTGGAGAACAGCAGCCCGGAGGACAAGCACGCCTGCCCCTTTGGGCGCAGCGCCATCGAGCTCACCAGGATGCTCTGCGAGATCCTGCAGATCGGAGAACTTCGTAAGTGGGGTCTGGTGGGGAACCCAGGGAAGCCCCCTCCCCCCCCGTGGAGGAGCCACTCGGGGCTGCTCCCCTTCTCCTCTGAGCCCCGGAGGGCGCCCGGCCCGCAGGGGAGCCCTGGAGGGACCTACCAGCTGAGGCCTCTCCCTGAGCACCACTTGGCCCAACCGGATGCGGCCCAGCGGGGATGTTGGAGCCTCAGAGGGCTGCTTCACGTGGCAGCCGTGGCCTGGTGCGTGACTGGGGCAAGGATGGTGGTTGAGCTACCACTGGCTGCTGCGGGGGTGGGGGGCCGTTCACTTCCCAAAGGCTGGTCGGAAAGGTAAAAACTCTGCCTGGCCACCCGGCGCCTCAGCGGCTACGAGCATCCCTGTGTGTTCAGCTGGGACGTTGTGACATTTTTGTGCAGTTTCTCACGTACACAAGGTGCACTTCCCGGTGTTTTTCTGCTGATGCCTCCGTGCAGTCTGGGAATGTTTGCCCTAGATCTCCCTCCCTCCCTCCCTCCCAAAGCTCAGCCTGGGGGAAAGTGGGCCTGCCCGGCCGCTCTGACGGCCCGCTTCCTCCCTGTCTCTGCCAAGCCAACGAGGGCCGGAACGACTACCACCCCATGTTCTTCACGCACGACCAGGCCCTGGAGGAGCTCTTCGCCATCTGCATCCAGCTGCTGAACCGGACCTGGAAGGAGATGCGGGCGACAGCCGAGGACTTCCACAAGGTGGGTGTGGCCTCCCCCTCCTCTTTCCCCTCCCTCCGCAGCCCCCCAGTGCCGCTGCCCTCCTCCTCCTCCTCCTCCTCCGCCAGGTGATGCAGGTGGTGAGGGAGCAGATCACCCGGGCCCTGCCCGCCAGGCCCCCCTCCCTGGACCAGTTCCAGACCAAGCTGCGCGGCCTGGGCTACTCGGAGGTGCTGCGCTTGCGTCAGTCGGAGCGGATGAGCCAGGACGACTTCCAGTCCCCGCCCATCGTGTGAGTGGCTCAGGGAGGGGCCGGGGGGGCACTGGGCAGGGGACACCCCCCCTCTGATGCACCTGCTGGCCGGCCTTCCCCAGGGAGCTGCGGGAGAAGATCCAGCCGGAGATCCTGGCGCTCATTAAGCAGCAGCGCCTGAACCGCCTCTGCGAGGGAAGCAGCTTCCGCAAAGTGGGCAACCGGAGGAGGCAAGGTGAGCCGGGGGTCCTGCGGCAACGGGGGGGGGAGCTCTCTCATGGGGGGGGGTCTTTGCCGAGACCGTTTCCCTGCCTTGCAGAGCGCTTCTGGTACTGCCGCCTGGCCCTGAACCACAAGACGCTCCACTACGGGGACCTGGAGGAGAACGCCCAGGGGGGGGCCACCCTGGAGTCACTGCAGGAGAAGAGTAGGCCGGGGGTGGGGCTGGGCGGGGGTGGGGCAGCTCTCTGGCCCTGGGGGTGGTGTCTGTCCAGGTGGGCCTCTGGAGGGCCGGGCCTGATGGCCGCCCCTCTTCCCTTAGTCCCCGTGGCAGACATCAAGGCCGTTCTCACCGGGAAAGAGTGTCCTCACATGAAGGAGAAGGGGGCGCTGAAGCAGAACAAGGTACGGGCCCCCCCAAAGGCCTCTGCCCAGGGACGGGGGGGGGGGGAAGGGAGAGGCCCGCCTCCCGGTCCCTGACTTCTCTCCCCACCCCCAAGGAGGCCCTGGAACTGGCTTTCTCCATCCTTTATGAACCGGACGAGACCCTGAACTTTATCGCACCCAACAAATACGAGGTGAGCAGCAGGTGCGGGTGGGGGAGCCCAGGGCTGCTTCTATCCTGCTGGGCTGGCCCTCGGGTTGCCTCCCCCTCCCCCCCAGCCAGCTTTCCCTGCCCGAAGGGAGGGAGGCCTTTCTTCTGCGCTGAGAAGGCTAGCATTGGAAGGGGCTCTGGAGGTCATCTAGTCTGCCCCTGTTGAGGAAAGGAATTAAAGCACCCCCAATAGGTGCCTGTCCGGCCTTGGCCCGAACACATCCCCCCGAACAGGGGAGACACCCCCCACCCCCGCATCATTGGCCTCTCTGTTGAACTGCTCCTCTTTCCGACCTTTGGGGCGAAGGTCCTTTCCTGAGGACTGTTCAAATTGCGGACTTGGATTCCGGGAAAGGGGCCCTGGAAAGCCTCCCCTCTTCACTGGGGTTTCTTACGGGGCCCCCAAAAGAGCCTCGTCGTTTCCTCCTCCATTTAGATCAGTCAGAGTAGAAATTTTTGAAGATGTGTTAGAAATCCCTGCTCTGTGCATTCGCACCACCTTGGTGGCCCCTCTTCCGCAGACTCCGTCCCTCAGACTGGACGCCTGCCAGTCGCCGTCTCTGCGCTCCCGGCAGAAGCAGCGCCTTAAATCCCCCGCCACCCGCGCCCTCCTCGCTCAGCGGTTCCCGGGGGGCCCTTGGCTACCGGCAGTTAAGGGGAACCTTTCTGGCTCTGAGAACCGGCGGCGGTGCTGGCTGCAGGGCGGAGGATGTTCTTCCCTGTCCACCCGCTGCCTTCAGCCAAACGGAGCTTTCTGGGCAAGCTTTCTGCTTGCGCGGCCCAGTTCCCAATGAGCCGCATCCCGGTACCAAGCTGCATCTCTCGGGTTGGGGACCCCCGATTTGGAAGAGGGCTGCATCGCCCCTCTCGCGCCCTCTCAGAAGACGCAGCTCCTCCCCTGCTCCCGCTGAACTCTCCTGGGTCACTTCCTGGCCCCTGGCCGCGAGTGCCCCGTTTTGGACACCCCAGGAGAGGGGCAGGGGGCCCAATGTGGGTTGTGCTGCTCTTACTGCCCCTGTGGCAGCTGCCAGGATGGTCCTCGGGGCAGTTCTGGGTTCCGGGAGGAGGGGCAGGAGCTGCCAGCAGGCCAAATGCGCTTCTTGCGGGTTTCCGGATTGTGGGGGAGGGGTGGAGACTAGGAGAGGCCTGCTGCCCCTCCCCAGCCGGTTTTCTCCTCCTGTCTCCCAGCTGCAGCCTCTCCTGCCCCTTGTCCTGCCGCACTGAGCTAGTCTGAATTCTCCAGCATTAATAGCCTCCCATGGGTGTAGGGCCTCCTCTTTAAAACGTGCAGGTTGGTGACCATCATCAACCTGGCCGTAATGAAGACTGCAGGTTAGCGGTGTGCCGGGTGAATAAAGTGCCTCTGTCGTCTGGCCTGCGTCCCCTCCCTGAGTCTCCCCTCCCTGCTCTGCTCGGGAGCCGCCACAGCGTCCCAGGAGAAGCCACCTCTTTTGGGGCAGCCTCTTCCTCTCGGCTGACAGCCTGCATGCGTGGTGTAGGGAGGAGAGCTCCTGCCCTCTGGCTCTGCTCCCCTGGTTCTGCCTCTGCCCCGTGGGGCAGGAGAGCATCAGCCGCCCCTCCCTCCAGGACGGCCCTTCGGAAAGGCCAGGGCTGAAGAGACCGGCTCCGTCAACCGTCCCTCGCGGGCCTTGGTGGTGGTGGTAGCGGCAGCGGCCTTCCTCCTCTGGCCTTGCTCCGGTCGGGATGGTGGTGACTGGAATGGAACACGGGCTCCCCGTGGGATCTGACCGGGCTAAAGCGGGGGTGGGGTGGGGGAACCACTAATTGAGGGAAAGCTCCCTGGCCTTTACAGCAGCAGCTCTGCCTCGTTGCTGGTTGAGCTGTGAGAAGATGCAGACCCCTCCCAGGGGGGCCAGGCCAGCTCTGCCCCATCCTGCGCTCGGGCGTGTTCCCAACTTGGGTGCAGAGTGGGACTTTTCTCCCCTCTCCTCCCGGCTTTGGTTTCCGAAGGGAGGAAACTTCCTGGGCTGTGATACGGAGAATAGAGCTGGAAGGGACCTCGGAGGTCTTCCAGTCCAGCCCCCTGCTCAGGCAGGAGACTCCATACCGTTTCAGACAAATGGCTGTCCAGTCTCTTCTTGAACACCTCCAGTGATGAAGCACCCACAACATCTGGAGGCCGGCTGTTCCGCTGGTTAATTGTCCTCATTGTTAGGAAGTTTCTCCTTAATTCCAGGTTGCTTCCCTCCTTGGTTAGTTTCCATCCATCGTTTCTTGTCCTGCCTTCAGGTGTTTTGGAAAATAGGTTGACCCCCTTTAATCATCTTAGTCGCCCTTTGCACTTTTTCCAAAGTCTCATCATCTTTTTTGTAACGTGGTGACCAAAACTGGATGCCGTATTCCAGGTGGGTCCTTACTAAGGCTTTATAAGGCGCTACTGAGACTTCACGTGATTTTGATTCTGTGCCTCTGCCTAGAAGCAGCCGGGGGCTCCGTAGCGCTGGAAGTGGGTCGAGAGCGGCAGAGGCTGCCAGGAGGGTCTTCGCAGAGTGGGGGGTGGGGGGTGGGGGGTGGGTTTGGCTAGTCTCCCTCTTTCCTCTCCTCCCCCCCCCCGCCTGAGACCCTCTCTTGCTGCCCCCAGTTCTGCATCTGGGTCGACGGGCTCCACGCCCTGCTGGGGAAGGACATGGCGAGCGAGCTGACCAAGAGCGACCTGGAGACGCTGCTCAGCATGGAGATGAAGCTGCGCCTGCTGGACCTGGAGAACGTCCAGATCCCCGAGGAGCCCCCGCCCGTCCCCCGCGAGCCCAGCAGCTACGACTTCGTCTACCACTACGGCTGAGCCGCCTCCGCCCGGCCCCCGCGGGGCTCCCCGGGCAGGGCAGGGCGGGGGGGGGGTCGCGGTGGCGGGGCGGCGGCTGGACCTGGCGCGCTCCCCCCTTCCTCCCCCCCCCATTAAAGCTGGTTTCCCCTCCCTCCAGCCCGGCTCCGGCCTCTTATTCGCGCCGCGGGCGGCAGGGGGCGCTGGGCGGCCGGGGCGCTCTGGCCGCGAGGCCTCTATGGAACGGGGGGGGCGTGGCCGGGGGCGCTTCCGCCCGGCGCGATGGCGGCGGCGCGGGCTGCCGCGCGGGCGGCGGGGCTGGTGCTGCTCTACTACGGCTTCTCCATCGGCATCACCTTCTACAACAAGTGGCTCATGCAGGTGGGCGGGGCTCCGGGGCGGGCGCGGGGCGGTTCGGCCGGCCGCCGGCTCACCGCGTGGCCTCCCTTCCGCGCAGAGCTTCGCCTTCCCGCTGTTCATGACGCTGCTGCATCTGCTGGTCATCTTCGCGCTCTCGGGGCTGGCCAGGCGCTGCTCCCGCCGCTGCAGCGCCGCCACCTCGGCCACCGCGGGGCGCGCCCTCCTGCCCTGGCCCGCCTACCTGCGCCAGGTGGCCCCGACAGGTGAGGGACGGGGGCGGGCAGGGGCGCTCGGGCGGGGCGGGCGGAGGCTCCCGGGACCGAGCGGGGCGCAGCGTTTGCCGCCGGTCGGGGGTCCGCCAGAAGCCCCTCCGGACGTGCCTCGGGGGGCTCCTCTCACGGGGCTTTTCCCCCCGCAGCGCTGTCCACCGCCCTGGACGTGGGGCTGAGCAACTGGAGCTTCCTCTACATCACCGTCTCCCTGTGAGTGCCGGGCGGCGGCGGGGAGGCCGGCTGGGGCGCCGGGGCTGGCGTAGCCTTCAGCGGCGGCCGGGGCGGTGGGGAAAAGGCCGGTGGGGGGGGGGCTGCCTGCAGCGGCGCCCCTCACTCATCCCTCCCTCCCTCGCTCCTCCCGCCTGGCAGCTACACCATGACCAAGTCCTCGGCTGTCCTCTTCATCCTCCTCTTCTCGCTGATCTTCAAGCTGGAGGAGCCGGTGAGACATCCCCCCTCCCGCCTCTCCCCCCCCGCCCAGTCTCGGGGTTCGGGCAGGCAGATGGCGGGCACTGAGCTGGGGTGCCAGCAGCCCCGCCTGGCCTCTTCCCGGCCCGGCTCTCCGCTCACCAGCAGGTGGCGCTGCTCCCTCTCCCGCCAGAGAGCCGCCCTGGTGCTGGTGGTGCTGCTCATCTCCGCGGGGCTCTTCTTGTTCACCTACAAGTCCACCCAGTTCGACACCGAGGGCTTCGCCATGGTGCTGGGCGCTTCCTTCCTGGGGGGCATCCGCTGGACTCGGACCCAGATCCTCCTGCAAAAGGACGAGCTGGGTGAGTGCGTGGCAGGGGGGGGGGCTGAGGGAAGGCCAGGCCCCCCTCCCTCCTCCCCCCTGACAGGCCGCTGCCCTTCCCATCCCTTGCAGGACTCCAGAACCCCATTGACACCATGTTCCACCTGCAGCCGGCCATGTTCCTCAGCCTCTTCCCCCTCTTTGCCGTGTTTGAAGGTCAGCCGCCTGGGGGAGGGGGGGGGGAGTGGACGCACCCGGGGGGGGGGACGATGACTTCTGGCTGCCCCAAGTTGCTCGAGGAGGGGGCGCCAAGGGTGTGCCGGGACGATCCCGCCAACGGCTCACGTTGCGGAAGGGAGAAGCCCCATCTTGTGGCCCCAGGTTCTGCTCAGCCCAGGAGGGCCCTTTACCCAAAGAGGCCCATCAAGGGGAGGGTCCTCGGGGCTCAGCTTGTCTGGCCCCCCGCCCCGTGCAAGTCCCCTGGGCTTCAGCTTTCCAGACCAACGGCTCCTCCTCCCCCTCCCCCACCCCCAGCTGCATGGCTCTTCCCACGAGGGCTGCTTTCCAGGAGTCCCGCCCAAGATCTTGTGCTTTGGTCCCTTGTGATCCACTGAGATGCCCAGATCCCTTCTGCAGGCCCTGCCAAGCGCACTGGTCTCCCCATCCTAAACCTTTGGTTGCCTTCCTCCCGATTGACTGCTGGGCGGAAGGCCTGGCCTGCCCCCTCCTGCCCCCCCCATCTGTCTCTGGGACTTGCTTCCGGATCAGCCAGTCGTGGGGCTGGGTCTGCAAGCGAGCCCCCTTCCTGTTCCCTCCCTGTTTCCCCAGGTCTGCCCTTGTCTGCGTCGGAGAAGCTCTTCCGTTTCCAGGAGGTGCCCCTGCTGGTGGATCTGCTGGGGAAGCTGGTCCTGGGGGGGCTGCTGGCCTTTGGGCTGGGCTTCTCCGAGTTCCTCTTGGTCTCCAGGACCTCCAGCCTCACCTTCTCCATATCGGGGATCTTCAAGGTATTTGAGGGGGGCGCTTCTCTGGCCTGTCCTGGGCCTTTTCCTTCTTCCAACACAGCAGTCAAAATGTGCGTATGTTCCACCCCCTGGGCCCTCGGAAGGCCTGCCTTACTCCAGGAACTGCATAGAATTCACCATGGTGTAAAATAAAAAAGAACAGAAACCCAGTTGGGCCAAGCCGACCGCCTCTGCCTGTTAACGGGGGTTGTTTATGGCTGTGAGGGGGACCCCCGGCAGTGGGACTGAGCCCGTCGGATCAGCCCCCAACCGCCTCTGGCGAGGGGGGGGCTCAGGCCGGCCTGGTCTGCTGTGAGCTGATGATGCGCTGCCTCGTCCCCCAGGAGGTCTGCACCCTGTTCCTGGCGGCTCACCTGATGGGAGACCAGCTGACTCCGCTGAACTGGCTGGGCTTTGCCGTCTGCCTGCTGGGCATCTCTCTGCACGTGGCCCTGAAGGCCCTCAGGGGTAAGGAGGGGGGCAGGGGAGGGGCAGAGAGGCCCTCTTTCTATGGGCCCTCGCAGGGCAGCTCACCCCTCCCTTCCCACGCAGGGCCAAAGGGCACGAAGCACCCCGAGGCGCCTGGCTCCCCTGCAGACCTGGAGCTCTTGCTGCTGCCGAACTCCCAGGAGGAGGAGGAGGAGGAGGCCCCCCTGCGCTGAGCCCCCCCCTTGGCAAGCTGGAGGGCGCCTGCTCTGTGGTGTGTGTGGATTGTGGGCTTCCTAGGGCGGAACAGAGATGCTCAGCTTGGGGAAGGGGGAGGGCAGGTAGCAGGGCTGCTTCTGCCTCCCCCTCCCTGGGCTGAGAGGTCACCCTCTTTGGGCTTGCCAGGGCCTCGTGCCCCAGACTGGCTGGGCCAGAAGCCGAGAGCCGGGGCCTGCGGAGGCTGCAGCCGCCTGCAGTGGGCCCACCTTGCTGCCCGGCCCCTCAGAAGCGCCTGCAGATGTCCAGGGTGGCTGCTCAGGTTTGGGCCCTGCGGTGGAGAGGTGTGGCAGGTCAGAAGAGCCCCAGAGGAGGGCGGCCTCCCGTTTCCACCTGTGCCCCCCTAGGGGCAGGAGTTGCTCCGCCCCCCGTCCAGGAGGGCACCTGCAGCAAGAGGGTCCTGAGCCTTCAGGAGGAGGAGAAGGAGGAGGAGGACTCTGGGAATGGAAAGGGGAGCCAGGTGGCCGAGCCTGGGTGCAGGGAAGAGCCCCCCTGGAACGTCAGCCGGACGCTCAGGGTGGGCTAGATGAAAGCGCCCACCTGAGTCAGGAGGCAAGGCAGGTGGAGGTGGGTGAAAGGCAGGGCCCCGATGGGCACGCCCACTGCAGCGATCACGGGGGCCAAAAGAATGCAGGAGCCCCAGAGCAGAGCAAGGGGGCGGCTTGTAAAGAGCAAAGGGCTGCATCCCAAAGGTGCTTTTTCAGGAGGTGACTGGACTTCCTTTGTTTTTCTTTGAAGACGTTTTGCTTCTCATCCAAGAAGCTTCTTCAGCTCTGACTGGGTGGTGGGGAAGGATTTATACTCCTTGCAGACAGCTGGTCATTTGCCTTCTTTTAGATAAGAGTCCTTGAGGCCACTTGGAGGTTTTACCTGTGTCCTCAGGGTCACCTGAGTAGTGCAAATGGGAGTGGATCCTTCTTGGAACTGCTGACAGGACTGTGTGGTGGACCATTTGCACTACAACACAGGAGCACGGAGGGAGAGGAGCAGGTGGAAAAAGTTAAACAGCAACTATCTGTTCCAGTGCCCACCAAAATGAGAGCTGGGTTTCCCCTCCTCCCCAAATAAACCACGCTTGCTGTACTGGGGCTCCCTTGGGGCACCCAAATGGCTGAGGGGCAAGTGGGGACCGGAAAGCGGAGGATGGGAAACCAGGGTGCTCTCTTGGGCGCTTCTGGGGGGCTGCCAGGAAGTCAGGGCATTGTCACTTCAGGTGTCCAGTTTGCCCCAGTAAAAGCCCACCAGGGTTCCAGGGCCACCAGTGTCGCCATCTCCTGCTGTGGGGCGAGGCTGGTCCAAGTGTTCCGCATGTGCCCGGGCAGCCAGGATCAGGCCCAGTGGCAGAACTGCCTGACACGAGCCGCAGCCTCCAGTAACTCCACTTCTTTGGGGGTGATGGAAGTTTTTTTAATTCCTTCCTACCAATTTCTTTTCAATTCATCCACAACAGTTCTGCTCAGGACCGCCGGCAAAGTGCCATTGATATTTGATAAATATCAAATTGATATTTAAATTAAATATTTAAATTGATGTTATTTGAGGAATATTTCATAAAGCTATACACTAAGGGGACTCATCACTTCTGTGGCGCCCAGCAGCCGCGGCTGTTCTGCACCCATCCAGGTTTACCGGCTATGGTGACTCTTCGCAAAGTAGCCGTAGCTGCCATTGTGGGAACCCGGACCGGCCAGGCTGCCCCTCCCGGCCTGGTTCACACATCCTAACAACTGATTCAGTTCTGCTCAAGTGGGGTGTTAAGCTTGGAAGGCCATGTCCTGCCCACGTTGGAGCTTCCCAGGATGTGTTTGGAGGGGGGGATGCCCATTGTGCCTCATCCAGTGCCCCTCTGAGCCCCCCCTTCATGGTCATGGGCAGCTGCTGGCGTTTCCTATTGTGGCCCACCCTGCTGGAGGGGAGGGTGGAAAGGAGGCCGAGGCCCAGAGGTCCAGCACATCAGCTTCTCCTGGGACACACCCCACTCCTTCAGTGGGACAGGAGGTCTGGGGTGCTCCTCACAGCAGTCCTGGGGCTGTCAGGATGGCTCCTGCAGGGCTCCAGCCTTCACTTCCTCCCTCTTTCCTGAGAGGCGCCCCTTATGCACGCCTGCACAGTGTGTGTGTGTGTGTGAGGGGGGTTATATGAGCACAAAGACATGCATGGAAGACACAAACTGACAAGCACCCACCTGGCCACCACAACCGTTTAGGCAAGGCTTTTCAACCAGTGGTACGGGTACCACCTGTGGTCCATTGGCACCTGGCAGGTGGTACGCGACCATCCTAGAAAAGTGGTAGCGGGGGAGGGGAATGAGCTGAACCGGTGGCAGCACCGCACAAGCCTGAGCGAGAGACGGCTGGAGCTGCAGGGCTCTCAGGGCTCAGCGGAAGCGCCAGGATCAGCGCCAGGCTCCAGCCGGAGCTTGGCATTGATCCTGGTGTTTCTGAGCCCAGAAGAAGCACCAATCAGCTGGGATGTTGCAGCAGGGTCTTGTGATTTACATTCAGATGCTTGGCAACTGATTCATATTTATGATGGTCACAGTGTCCCAGGGTCATGTGAACTGACCAAAACCTGCTGCAACCACCCAGCAGACGGGGGGGGGGGGAATAAAAACCAAACACCCCCCCACCCCACCACCACTTCCAATCCTCAACAGAAATGCTCACAACAATGGAAACCTCGGACAGGAGGAAGAGCGCTGCCGGGTGGGCAGGCAGGTGTCTTGCTCAACTGGCTTGGGGGCACTTTTTTCAGTGCCATTGTAACTTCAAACAGTCACTAAGCGAACTGTTGTAAATCAAGGACTACCTGTACTTCATCACTTTTTCCCCTTTTGGGAGGGGGGTCATCAAGTTTTTGACACCTTGCTAGGCGACTGGTGGTACTCGGATATTGCCATATCCTAAAAGTGGTACAATGGGTGAAAAGGTTGAAAAGCCCTGGTTTAGGGAGTCAGGAATCAGCTCTCCCCCCCCTGCTTTGCCCAGAGATCGCAGGGCATCGCAAAAGAGGGAGAGGAGCAAATGCAGGAATAGCTTCAGGATGGCCACAGGTTCTTTACTCCCAAACCTTGGTCACATGGGGGCTTCTGGCCTTCCCTGGCGTGGCTAAGCGTTCCTGGGCAATGTCTCCTTGGGCCTTTAGCTTACTCCATGGTGTCAGGATATACTCAGTCAGGTTGTTTGGGCCTTTTAGGTTTCCACACCAACCTTCCTTAACGATGTCTAAAACACCAGGAGGTCGTCTTCCGTATAGTCATTCAAATGGGCCAGATCCTTGGATGCCTGGGGAATCCCCTCCCCCCATACGCAAACAGTAGGACGGGCAGCCATGTATCCCAGTGCTTTGGGTCCTAGCCAGCATATTTCCTGAGCATATTCTTTGGGGCTTGGTTCCTTCTTTTTGTAAGACCATTGTATGCTCTTGTGCGTTGTAAGGACTGTCCCACCGGTGCTTTTTTCCAAAGTCCAAGTGGACTTTGTTTTTCCTTGAAGATGTTTCGCTACTCATCCAAGAAGCTTCTTCAGTTCTGACTGGAGTGGAAGGGTTTATATTCCTTGCAGTCATCTGGTATGCACCCATTTTATTCCCAAGTCTGCATATAGATATTTCAGCATCGCCGATTGGTTTCTTAATCCATCAGGTTCTTGTGTGAAAATCTTTACCAGCTCCTCTGCGACACGTTTAGCGGTCACAGTTCCCTAATGGAGCCGCTTCTGGGCACCGAGCTGCGTAGTAGTCACAGGCCACCAGGATATCCTCGCTGCCTTTACCAGATTGTGGTGATGGGCCTACGGTATCCATGGCGACTTTAGAAAAGGGGATGGGGGCTTAAGGACCCCTTTCCATGGAGTCCTTTCTCTCTGGCAGCCCCTCAGAAGCTCTTACTTGCTGGAACAGCCTTTCTTATTTCCCTCCCTCCCTCCATCCTCTTTTTCCCCCCAGTCTGACTTCCCTGGGGCCCTGCAATTCTTGGCTGGTTCGGCTGCCCTCTGACCCAACTCTGGATTGTGTTCCTTCACCCAAATCCTCAATTGTGTAAGGAGTCCTTGCAGAATCCACTCTAGAATTACACCCCTTTCCCTGCTTTTCCCTCTGGCCTCAACCATCTTCCAACCTGGCCCACAATTCGTAAATCCCCCCCCCACTCCCATGTTTGTTAAAGTAACTTCTGACCCTCTGCCTGCAGGTGTCAGGCGTGGCATCGTATCTGCACAGGATTGTGAGCGTAATTCACTCCTCCTCTTGCAGAAAGAGTGCTCATGGGTCCTTAAAGCCTCCCCTGTTGAATATGGGGCTAGTCTGGCCACTTGCGAGAGGCGGCCACAGCCCTGGGCTGCTTCCGGGGGCTTGATTTCCACAGAGACCACCTCCCCACTCCTTCCCTTCCAGGACAACTGCCACACACCCACTGCGGCAAGGCAACGTGCTCTTCTGCTCAGCTTCTCTGGCTGCCCCTTGCTGGGCTGGCTGGGGGGAGGTCTCTAAGGAGCAGGGCGCCCACAGCCCAGGGGCTGCCAGTTTCCAGGCAGCCTCCCCTCTCACGGGGACCCAGCACACCAACAAGGAGCAGGTTAAAGCAGACAACAACCACCCAGAATCTTTTTCCTTGGTGCATTGACCCCCACCGGCATCAAGCTGTCCCACTGCCCTTTCCTGTTATTTTTAACTGATTTCTATAGTCGTCCCTCTCGACAAATGAGTCTTGAGTGATTCCTGTCTCTTGCGGAGTCAGATGGCAGAATCGGCCCCTCGGAGGCCTCTCGGTGCAGCAGCTCTCCCGGCTTGCTTTTGCAGAGTCTCTGATGACAGAATTTGGTCCCCACAATCCTTGCTAAGCATCCCGAAGCGGATCCTGGATCGGGGAGGAAGACGGGCACGGCAGGGACTGCAAGCAAGCCGAACACAACAGACTGCCCCTGCTCTTGCCTTTCTGCTCTTGCCAGCTACTCCAGCCTGT